TGAAAGTGCTAGATTAAATCTTTCTCATCATGATTTTTTAAAAAAATTTGTTGAAAGTTTTTGTGAACACTTCGAAAACGAATATCTACGTCGTACAGTTAGGTATGTTATAATATTATGAAAAAGATATATTTTGTTATTTGCTTTCATAATTTTTTTAAATTTATCATAATGTATATATTATGCAAAAAGATGAAAATATTGCATTATGTTTTGCAGATCACCATCTTTATATGACACAAGACATAGTGCAACTAATGATAGAGATATTAATGCTATAAGTCAAAATAATAATGCTCCTATTCGTATATCATCTCATGAAGAATTCAGTGATTACTCTGAACATGATGGAGATGCAATATCACCAAAACCATCACACAAACCATTTTTCCGTCGTTTATCTTTTAAAGGACTTAAAAAAGGAAAAAGCCTTTTTCATAAACAACAAAGTGATGAAGTGGAATTATCTCATAATGAACATCGTAGAGATAAACATTCAAAAGCTAAACTTTCTAAAATTGTAGTAGAATGTAGAAAAGAAGGCATTGTTAATTCCTTAATGGGAGAGAATATTGATGGAACTCAAAAATGGGAAAAGTCTAGACTTGCTTTAATAAAAGCAATTGGTGGATATATGTTAGAATTTTATTCTCCTCCAAAAGCAGTAAAACCACGCAGTGGTGTCTTTTGTTCTGCAATTACTGAAGCCAGAGAAACAACTGCATTAGAAATGCCAGATCATGAAAATACTTTTGTATTAAAAACACAAAATATGGAATTTGTAATAGAAGCTCATGATTCGAATGATATGAGATCATGGTTAGCTACTATTAAATATTGTATGCGTACAGTACAACAAAATTCTATTAATCCCAGTTCTGGAGTAGAGGCTACTGGAGAATCTTTAGGTCATACTTCATTAGCTATTAGTAATGAAGGAGATAGATTAAGAACTAATTCTGCAAGTAAAAGTTCCCGATCTACTTCCCATGAACATGGAGATGAAATAGGTGGCAATCCTCCAGAAATACCTCCTAGACTTCGTATAAGAAGTAATAGTAATTTGGAATTATGTTCATCACAACAAGATATTGAACAATGTAAGATAAATTTATATATAAGAGTTTTAAAATTATATATTTCTAATTATCTAATATGTATATTAGAAATAATTAAATTTTGTTGTAGTAAATGTAAATGATGGTGAATTAGATTTATCAAGTAGTTTAAGAGAATATCCGTGGTTTCATGGAACTCTTCCTAGATCAGATGCAGCACAATTAGTTTTACATAGTGCTGCTAATGGTCATGGTGTATTTCTTGTTCGACAAAGTGAAACAAGAAAAGGAGAATTTGTATTAACTTTTAATTTTCAAGGTAGAGCAAAGGTAACGTTTTTTAAATTAAATTATTTTATATAACTATTAACTATTTTAAACTATTTAAAATAATTTATTTTGTAATCTTTATTATAGCATTTACGTATGACATTAAATGATCAAGGACATTGTCGTGTTCAGCATCTTTGTTTTCCTGCTATATATGATATGCTTGAACATTTTCGTCAGAATGCCATACCTCTTGAATCTGGTGGAACGGCAGATGTAACTCTCACAGAATTTGTTGTGGCAAATCATGCAATACGATCAACACATCATAATATGTCTGGAATAAATCAACAACAATTACAAGAAAGAAGACCTCCAGCTGCTCCAGAGCCAAGAGAAGTAAGAGTCAGCAGTGGAAGTCTAACTCCTCTTGAGTGAACGCGAGTGGCCAACACCCACAGTCTGAAGTCTAATCTACAGACAGTGAGTAAATAAATAAAATGATGCACCCATTTTTTTGTGCGACTGGTAATATATACATTCTAAATTGATATTCACATTATTACAATATTTTAATAATTTATATATCCATATTCGGATTATTTTGTATTTAAATGTTACTAAATGTTTTTCTTTTTAATATAAATTATTTTATTGTTTTTTATATACAGATATACATAATATAAAATGTTTTAGAATGATGTTTTAGATGATATAAGCAAATAAATATATTTCTACATGCAAAAATAAGTCAAAGAAAAGAATAATATTTTTTTATTTAAAACTTTTTAATTGTTTCTAAAAAATTAAAATTGAAAAACATTGTTTATTTGACTGTACATTTTCAATCTTAATTTCTTTAAAAAGATTTAAACAACAAAATTTTATTCTACATTTTTTATGTATTTTTATTATGTATTTTATATTTATAATCTTGCTGATTAATGACTTATATCTAATAATGATTTATTTAAATTCATTTATATTTAAAAATTTGATTTAATTATATTAAAAATTTATATTTTCAAATTTAATTTATTCAATAGAAATTTTGTTATTAAATAACAAAATTTTATTAACTTTTTTTTTTTAATTCATTTTTGTATGTAAAATTTTTTCAATCATATTATCCATATCATTCATTTTGATATACACTGTATCATGTACTTTTTCCATTTATTTAATAATAATATGTAATATTTAGAAGAATAGTATTTTTTCAATAATTTAATATTTATTGCATCTTTTATTATGATTAATAAAAAAATTGCTTTATTTTTTCTTTTTTTAATTAGTAGTATAAGTTTTATATAGTTAACGTTTTATTATTTTTATTATTTTGAATAGAATTTTTAAAATTAATATTATTTTTAATAGTTATAATATTTTTATTAATTTTTTATCACATATGTGTACAAACTTTTAATCCGAATGTGGAAATTTAACAGAATTTAATTAAATATTATATATATATATAATTGGTATTTTAATTGAAATTCTCAAAATTAAAACTTATGATAACTCTTAGTAGTAAAGAGTTATAATTAATGTATGAGATAATGGTGCTTAATATATATGACCGTGGGACAAGGAGCTCGCTTTTATATGTAAAATATTCTTAAAATTTCTGGTTCATTTTAATTACTGTGAATAATGAAAAATTATTTTATTTTATATATAATTAATATTTAATAATTTTTTGCAAATCCAGAAAATTTAAGATAAAATTTGACGAATTATTGTTTAAATTGAATTAAATGTTAAATGAATATTTATATAATATACAGGTGCGCACATATGGAGGTTCTATAAGAACACGTACAGAATCATTGGAAAGACTGGAACAACAAAACACCAATACAGAACAACAAAGTTCATCATCAACTAGTGGTAGAGCAATTCAAAATACTTATAGTTTTCTTTGACGTTGGATCCATAATACTTTACCATCGGGTTATAATCCAGTTAGTCCTTTAGATTAAGTAGTTTCTCCATTAATTTAGAAAATCAAGATAATTTTTAGTTGAACTTATTGTTATTATAAATTGTCATTCTAAAGTGTACTATTTCACTTACAAATAATGTATTTTTTAATCAATTATTTTCGATTATTTCAATTTTGCAAGATAAAAATTAGTTATATTTATTAACATCTTTACATTCAATTTTGAAAACAGGACATAAATTTTAAAATATAATTATTTTATAAATAGTTTTTGAAATAATATATATAAATTATTTTACAAATTCAATGAAATTTATAACAAAATTTTATTGATTGTACTTTTTTGCACGTTCAGATATATCAGCTCAAATTATCATTAACACATATTATAAATATTATAAGTATTATAAAATATTTCAAATATGTATATGAAACTAAAAGATCATGGCCTTTATTTTACTAAAAGGAAAAATATTTTAAAATTAGCATATTCATTATATCATCTAATTTACTTAAGTGTATGTACTTATGTTAATATATATATATATAATATAATATTTAATAATAAATAAATTATATATATACACATATATATATATAACATATATACACATATATATATATAACATATGAATATAAGTTAGTCTTGTTTTATACGTAAAATTAATATGGACAATCTCTTTACTTGTCTCTATGACTATTTTTTTTATAAATTTCAAAATATACTAAATAATACATGCATATAGTATTATATATTAAGTATATATATTAAGAAGATTTAATTTAAAGAAATC